CTTATGGCAAGTACTACCAGACATGTTTGTACATGATGATAATGATGTTAAAGTAAATCAACTGATATTAAGATGTTTGTTTTGTTATTCTAGCAAAGGTTCAAGGCATACCCAAAGATGACTTGCTTCACAACGTGGATGGAGAAGGAAGCACTCTTCTTCATTTAGCTGTAGAAAGTGGATCACCACAAGTAAGATTGAAAATGAAATCGTTTTTTTCTATTTTTTCCTATCAGCCAAGAAACTCATTGCTCGAAATACTCAAGTGTTTGACACCTATTTGTCATGAGACATGAATCAGAAGGCATTTTTATCTGGAATGTGTTTGAAAAACCAACCTTCTCGTAATCAATTTCCATATTCACCGAACAATTTGTGTTGGTACTGATGGTTTATAGCTTTTCTTGTATTGCTATTCATCTTCAACAGACTTTCTCAAGATTGTCTTTTATGACCGTGAAGTAGTCTTTACTGCACATCACTCAATTAAAGTGTTTTTTCATTGCATTGTTTGACAGGTGGTTGAACTCTGTCTCGACGAGGGCGCCTCTCCTCACTCTGTCAAGGTAAACTGAACAATTGAATCAATATTTTATAAATTTTTGTCTCGACTGAGATAACTAAAAATATTTTGCTCTTTATGAAAGGCATTTAGTTTAGTTTTGCAGTGGAGGCGTAATTACATTTATTTATGAGTCATTGTACACAACAATACGTGCGTAATTAAAGGTGTCACTATTAGCACTCATTCCAAGCCTATATTAGTTCATAATAAAGCGACTCAGCAGAAAACAGCCAAATTTCCATACTTCTGGATTTTTCTTTCTCTATCCAAAACAACAACTAACACTCACGAACATCGTTATCAACCGTTGAATCTTTGATTCAGTAAWGGGCGCATAAATCAAAGATGTCTTCTAGTTTATTGATTACTGTGTCTTTTGTCGAAATTACGAAATGCTGTAAACACTGAAACCCCCTTAGAGAAGTTAGCCGGTGTAATGAGGAAGCAGGTGTTTCACATACGTTATTCGTATTGCTTTTGTGAGCTTGTGATGTAAGTTTATATTCAAAAACAAATGATTTGTTGTGCATATTAATTGTTGTTCATTGGTTGCCGAAACTAAACGTACTCATAGCGTGCCCTTGGCCTTCCAAAGGCTTGTTTCCAGGCTCTGATGTGTGCTTCGAGTCCTTTTATCATGTGCATGCGCATGCGCCCTACAAAACTAATTATTGACTCGTGACGGATAGAAAAAAAACAGAAACCAACGCCATTTTATGTCTCTGGCATTCCATAGGAAGCCCGAGTAAAAAGTCCAAAACCATATTAGGAATAGTCACGGTACCTTGCGTTACCCACTCTTCCAATATGTACTTTTGATTGGTTAAAACGACATCTAGAATTAGTCACGGTACCTTGCGTTATCCACGCACACAATAAGTTCTTTCGATCGGTTTAAAACAACATTCACGGTACCTTGCGTTACCCACTCATATACAAGATGTGATATGTGTTTATTTTTCAGTCGTCAGACGGAAGTACTCCAGTGCACTTGGCCTGTTCATATGGATACATGGATATCCTGGATAACCTGATGAAAGCAGTAGCCTTTATTCTTGATCCTCCTCCTGATCAAGATGGCAGGCTTCCTATTCACAAGTACGTCATCTTCTTATAACTTCTCTAAAAAACACAATTAATTATCTACTAACTCCCATACGAATATAAAAAAGTTAAAAGATAGTTGAGCAAAAAGAGTTGCTGACTATATATTGTTTTGTTAAGGGCTGCTCAAGCGAATCATCACCTAGTCATATCATATTTACTAAAGCAGGTTAGTGTTTTCATGCTTTTTGTATCCTCGTCACCAATGGAATATTTCGACGATACAGCGGTTATCTTGCCTTSGGGGGGGGGGGGGGAGAAAACAAAGATGACGGGAAATATATAGAATTTGGCTTGTACAAAGCTTTTATTAAAAGCTCCTCGTGCGCTCTAATAGTATAATTAGCCAATCAGATAGCGCATGATTAGCCAATCAAAACCCGCGTTTGATTGTAGCTGTTATGTGCCAAATTAAATTGCGTGTCATACTTTGCGTCTACAACCAGAACGCTCTATATATTTTGTTGCTCTCAGGTCAGTCAATCCGAACGCGCGTTACATGTAAGGTAGAACATGTGACAGAACATATAAAGGACTCAAATGGTGGGTTTTTAGATGGTAATTGTGTCAGTATGTTATTGTTTCAGGACATGGATCAAATAGACGCAACAGATCACGAGGGACGAACACCAATCATGTTGGCTGCTGACAATTGCTGCTATGAATCCGTACAAGTTCTCCTGGAGAACGGAGCAAATGTAGATGTTAGAGACGCGTTAAATAAAACAGTGCTTCATTATGCTATTGGGAGTGCAGAAGTCTTGAAAGAGATTCTAAAGGTACGGACGGACGGACGGACGGACGGACGCAAAGACGCACAGACGGACAGACAGACAGGACGGACGGACGGACTGACGCACAGACGTACAGACAGACAGACACACAGACAGGACGGACGGACGGATCGACGGAAGGAAATAGCAAATTTGATTAGTATAGCAGAGAACACATTTTTATATTTTTCTCGTTTCATGTTTTAGGATGTCAAATCAAATTCACTTATTCGAGCCAAAGATAATGAGGGCAACACTCCTTTACACTATGCCTCCAGGCTGGGCTGTGTTAAGGTATGTACATTACCACTATACTGATATAGTTACCATGGTAACACTCCTTTACA